CCCCCCCCCCCCCCCAGCAGGAATAGGGTTAAAAGAATATGGTAGAACGAAATTCCCAAGTTTCCGGTTTGGAGTCTTAACATTTACGTAGATTTTAATTTAAGAAATTAGAAAACAAGAAGAGAATGTAAAAAGAAACTTTACATGAAATTATATGTATTAGCGAAGATATTGATGCCTACAAAATTGCCTGATCCCATTCATGAAACCGGGTTTACGAGACTGGGTTTCATTACGAGACTCTGTTTTAAGCTTCGGGCTCTGGGGTTTCACAGCGTTCTTTGATTTCTGCACATTTTCGGGCTTTCTCATATGACCTTAAAGGGATTGTGTTCGCGAACACTCCCTTTAAAGGGATACCTGGAGTCTGGACAAAAGCTCTCATGAAAGTGGTTTACAATATACTGTACTACAATTTACGCAGTATAATTATATCCTTAACTATATAAGTTTTTTTTTCTGCTACACTACCCCTCACCCCAACCCACTAGCCACCCCCCATTCTAGACCTCCCTAACAAAGTTGTTCAAAAAAAATCCTACGATGAAATCCCGTATTTCTAGATTCAATTCAAAACAGTGCACGTTAAACATAGACAAAGATAGACACTCAGCCACCTCATTTCACAAAACCTCGATTTTAAGAGGAAGTTGGTTTCATACAGTGCACACATACTACAGGGCAAGATAATAATGCAATGATATTTAATTGCTGTTGCGTATTCTCTGCGTAAATATTTAAACCAGTTCTCTCTGGTCTGTGTTTAGGGATGTTAACATTTCGTTAAAAAAAACGATAGTTTCGTTAAAAAAAACGAGGACGAAAAATCGAAAACGAAACGATCGTTTTTTTTAAAGTTCGTGTTTTTAAAAAAGGTTGTTTTCAAAACGATCGTTTTTATAAAAATCGTATTTCGTTAACGATCGTTAACGACGACCTTTTGTTAACAATCGTTATCGACGAACCTTTGTTAACGATCGTTTACGACGAACCTTCGTTAAAGATCGTTAACGAAGAACCTTCGTTAACTATCGTCGTTAACGAAGAAAGGAAACCGACCTGAAGGGTACCTGAACTTATCATTGAGTAGTTTTTAAGAAATTATCCCCCACAACTTTTTAATTTCATGTAAGACGACATTACATTTTTTGCATGTAATTTTTTTCAAAAACTTAAACAATAAAAGATGAATCAGTGTTCCTCTCGATCCGAGGAGGATAAAAGCATTTGATTTTGATCATTTTGATAATTCACATAACAGAATATTTGATTTTTTTTATGTGAAAGATGAATCCCATGTTATGCTGTACCATCCGTCTTGTGTTTACTTTACAGCCCAGAAACATTACTCTGCAGTACAAAAAATGCGTACACCTCTGAAGTGTTTTTGCAATTTCTAATTACTAAATGATCTCAGAGATAGATAGATATTTTCCCTATAAAAAGTAAACAAAAAATAAAAACAAAGGAAGCACTGGAAAAATAACTTGTTAAGAATACATACGTACACAAACTACCCCAAATTTCTAAACTTGTAAGTTTTGTCCAGCTTGCCTGAGATGGAATTTAAAGAATTTGAGCGGCGGTTTAAATCCGTCAAAATCCGCCAAAACCCGGTTTAAATTTAGCGCCGGCTTAAATCTTGAAACATTTGATACAATCTTAAGTGGAACCAACCATATTTAAGCCGCGGCTTAAATTTAAACCGCCATACAAATTCTTTAAATTCGGCCACTGTTGTACTCAGTACGTATTAAACTTCAATCAATATCTAAACAGTGACTTTAAACTTTTCCCAGCTTGCCTGTTGTACTCAGTACTTTAAGCTTCTATCAATATCTACACAGTGACTTTAAACTTTGCCTTATCAAGGAAGATGGAGATATCAATATTTTGTTTGCTAAAAATTGAATTTCTTCGGAAACAACGTTAAATCATTTAAAATTAATGTACAGTGCAAAACTGTTCATTCCAGTTTCCGTAACACTCAATTTTCATTCTGGAAAAAAAAGGATATCCACGTTCCCGGGCAGCCGTATTACATTGAATTTCCGAGCCGGGTCAACTTTTCCGGTCCCAGTTTGTACTGCATCGCCCGGTCATTGGGTACAGACACTCAATAGTACTATAGCCAGTGCAACAAGGTTGACGCAGTCAGACTTTAGGTTGAATTTACTTTTAATGAAGGGTCAGAGGTACGTGCGTTGTCAATGTGAAGATAAAATCTTGAAGGATAATGTTAAGAAACGCTATAAAAGAGGGTCACTTGAAATAATGTCTACTTTGTCTCTTTTAGCAACTTCGACCCCTTCTTATTTTTTATTTAATAATTTAAAGTTTTGAGCTAAAAGATACAGGTTTTTTTTTAATCTAGAGTATGCTGTGTGCCTAAACATCTCATAAGCATAAGAGTTCCAGATTATCTATTACTAATATGAACATTTCATGTAAAGGGTTCCCCAGAAAGGGACCATAGGTTTAATTTAGAATTATTTATAAACTTAATTGTACATTTTTACCGATTATCGCATAATTTATGCGACCTTTCATTCAAAAAGGTTCATGTTAGATACAAAACGGTGCCCTTTAACAGATATCTCATACAGATCTTGGATGAAAAAGAATTCCGAATTTAACTAGATAAAAATAGTGTGAAATACTTTTTATCGCCAAATTTTTATTTTATGCAAAAAAACATTAACAATCGAAACACCAAATCTTTTAAAAATGATACACTATAGTAAGTAAATACAGTTTTTATCACAGATTCCTGAGGATTTCTAATCCTGATACAAAGGAATTGAGTGTTTACCACGAACTCTGATTTTCTAATCCCTATATCTTTGGATGCCAACCTCGTTAACATTTGACATTTCAAACTATGACTTCTGTTAGATCAAATAATATAAGTTTGAAATATCAAAGGTTTACGACATTGGGTTCAAAAGATATAGGGATTAGAAAATTAGAGTTTGTGGCAAAGACTCTATTCCTTTATGCTTGTAACTATAATTTACTTTTTGTAAAACACACTGTGGTCTAAAATTAGAAGATAAAAACCCGAATTATTCTAGAAAGCACAATTTTAACAATGCATTAAATTCATGCCTATAGGACATTATTAATTCAAACGTTTATTTGATAATATGTAAATATATCCGGGTTCTATATATCCGGGTTCTTTTTAAAATTAGGTTGACAAATAAACGCAGCAAATTATATCAAAAATCAAGACGACATTTAAGTCGTCCTGCATACTGTCATGTTTCGTGGGACACCCTGTATAAAGCGTTTCCACGATGTATAATTACTAAGTTTGAGTGCGTAGTTTTTGAATTTGGGTGGGTACGTTTTCAAATTTGGTTTTTTAAAGATCATTAAATAACGACGACGAAAAATAAAGTAAATATTATACAGTAAACTAATTAGATGTTAAGGAACATATTTCTCAAAAGAAATTTGCCATTAAATCAATTTTAGAATCAATCATTTTGTTTCCATCATTATATTGAATTTCTTATTTGTGAATAATCAGAGAGTATAGAAACTGATAATTAAATAAGATTTCTTATTTTCGATGATAAGATTAATTTTTATTTTCTCAACCTGTTCCTAAGTTGTTTAGTTAGTTTACAGTAGAATTTTGTTTACATTTTTTGTCGTTATTTAATATAAAAAAAACAATTCTTAAAACGTATCCACTAATGGATGTAATCCTTCGTCTTTGCAATAAGGACAGAGATCAGGGTTCAAAAGGAATCTGAACCCAAAACTTAAGACAGGGTATATTTATGAAAACCAGTTGAGCCCGAAATTTAAAAGAGTATCGTTGAACGAAACTCCCGAGTTTCCTTTTTGGGGTCTTAACATTTGTGTAGATTTTGATTTAAGAGATTCGAAAACGATGGAGAATATGAACAAACTGAAAAAAATAATATTTCATTACAAAAATATTAATATTCACAAAAATGCCTAACACCATTCGTGAAATCCGGGGTTGTTAAACTTCATACATAATTGCTTCAAATAGAGTATTTGATACAATTCAGGACCTCCCGTGTAAGATATAATGTAAGGTGAAATAAATTGTTTTGTTTTGTGTTCAGGGATTTCCCCCCCCCCCAATCTCTCATTCATTAACTTCATTGAAAATAAATGATTTTTTTCTGATACATAATAAATGTGTCAAACTCAATACTTTTTTTAATTGATTCAGATATAGACCAGTATTCTAGACTTACAATTTAGGACTGCCACTGGAAAAGGAGGGCGCGTCCCCCTTAAGTGTGTTATATAATGTGAGGTGAAATAAGTTTTTTTTGCTGTGTATGAGGGATTTTGCCCCCTTTCCCTCTGTTTTCCCTCTGAACCCCCTTCACTGTTCCTGCAATTTTTTGTTGAAACAAACCGCCCCCCCCCGTTCCGAAGAATTAGGGTCGGGAGAGCGGGTAGCTTGATGCCCCACCCCAAGGTTTGACAATTTTTGTCCTCCCCCCTTCAGGATGAATCGCCCACTTGGTTGCGCCTTTAATTCTCTGCATACTCGAACCCATTTTCAATTTTCATATAAAAAACTCCTTTTGCGTCATGTGTTTCAAATTGCTAAATAAGCTAAATATTTTTTGAATATTTGAACTTTGCACAAGGAACTTTTAAAGGTTAGAATATCGATTTGACAAATGTACATTAATTGGTTTCAGCATTTTATCATGTGTAGAATGAAGTCTACAAAAATCCCCCTCTTCAACAAAAATCAACCTTTATGTCCAACGATTAGGAGTCAGTACAATTCCCTTGTATTAAATGTTCATCAGCATTCTATACTCTAACCTTTCTCCGGTATTCACCCAAAAGTACGACTTTGAACATCGATTTTGCGCTCAAGCTCAGATCTTTAAAACGTTTTTTATGTCTCAAATAAATCCCAAAGAATTTGTCCCAAAAACTGCATACTCAGTTCAACTACCTTACATAGCCGGTCTGTCCCTTTAAGTAATTTTAAGTAATTAAGACAATTTGTATTTTCTTGCAAAATTCTTCCTCCATATTTATTCCTCAAGCATTAATTTCAAATTGTTTTCTGAAAAACATATTTATGTTTTAAGCACACTAAACTTCCAAAAAATAGGAATAAAATGGGGCCAAATTTTTACTTTTTACTACCTATTATTATATAAAATTTGCAAGTACTATATGACGCGACAATCTATATCAGAGTTTTGCAAATTAATCCTAAAAAATGTAACCTAAAATTTAAATCTTTAAACTCTTTTGTGAAGGGCAACAGAAAAGTGCTAGTTGGCATTAAAAAATAATGGGAAATGTCAGGTGACACTTTAATGTCGAGTTGAGTCTTTTTCTACGTTAATGCATGATTTTCCTAGTATTGTGTAAATATCTGATTACCTGAGCTCTTAACAGTTTTGATTGTGTTTGAGCCAACTCTGATGTAAGTAGTCCTATTTCTTTATCTCCTAGCTCAATATCTCGACGAAGTTGCTCCTCCCTATGGAATATTTGATTGACTGATAGATTCAACATAATCATTATTATTTCATGCGTTATTTACAAGGTGTATCTGTTATATGATATTGGAACCAATTAACTATTTTCTGAGGGGACTCGGCCAAATTTAATATAAAAATTCCGTTCTTTGCTTTGAAATATTTTCATTTTTAACATATCTTTATGACTTTAACATTTTTAAATTCGGTATTTCAACACGGATTTTTGATACCATGCATCGACATATTTTAAAGAAAAAACATGTTTTCACCTGCACTAGCGAATAAATATTTACAAGATTTTATTTTATTATAGCAACTGTTAGACTTTTTATTACTAGTCATACAAAAAATTTTCTATTGCAAATGTCCATTTATAAATTGTTCTATTTATGAAATTGTCCATTTATTTCATATCTTTTTATGAAACTGTTGTGTACTTTATCATAATTAATCACTTCATCGTGAATTTCATAATAAACGTGCTATAAAGTAATCATCGTGCTATACATTATAGCACGTGCGCTATACAGTTTTGATTGGTTCCCGAATTATTTGAGCTTATTTGATCTAGAAATAGCCAATGAAATAAGTACACAAACGTTTCATAAAATTATGTTATTTGGGTACGACGTGCTATAAAGTTTTCGAAGGTTCTCTCCTTTTTAGATTATATGGTGTCCCTCGCTAAAGCTCGGGAAAAAATGAAATCTAAAAAAGCTTGAACCTTCTCGATAAAGAGAAAATTTCTGTCCCAAAACTTTCAAGATAACTCACTTTTCTAAATGTGACATATTCTGACGTCTAATATTGTTTGTATTTTCTGTTGCCAGGTTCAGCATGCCTTCCAACTCAGCAATCCTGGAGAAAATTCACAAAACAAAAAATAAAAAATAAAATTTATTACTGGTCAAGGGTTTCAATAAGTCAATTGAGTGTGAATAGTTTTTAAATCTCTCTAAATCCTTGATTTCGAAAGTAACACCTAATTTGTTTTAGAAGTGAAAATAGAAATGAGTTAGTTCCTGGCTGATCGCAGTATGTCCCTCGCCAGTCAGTCTTTCCTGTGCTTCCTTTAAGCGCGTACTTTGCTTTTCATACAAAATCTACAAACAATTGCTACAGTGGTAGGCGATTATATCAATGCAACGAAGACGACTTTCTATTTCAATTTTGATTTAATTCAAGCTGTTAAGCAGCATGAATACACTTAAACATAGAAGTCAAGAGAAGCTGCCAATGAAAAAGCTTCTCTTTGATTACTTGTAAACTTGTTATTCGAAAAAAGCTTGTTAAAAATAAAAATAAAATAAAAAAGCCGTCTTCATTATATTGATATAATCGCCTACCATTTTAGTACTTAAATATGCAACTTTTTAAATTGAAATTATCTAATATGGTTTACATAAATCATAATATGGTAGTATTCTGCTTGTTGAGATTTTGAACTGTTGTTTGAGAAATGCAATGAGATGTCAAGTTATTTTGTTGGAAATTTAGAACTTTCAGAATTGACGCTACAACATTTTAATGCTGGCATCATTTTTTTGAAATGCACATCAAATACGTCAACAGACATATTTTCTGCACGTAAATATTCCTTATCTTATCATTTTTGTTTAGGTTAGGGCTTCTGATGAACCGCAAGGTACAAGAGGGACCAAAATAGCTGTGACTAGACCAGTATAAGGGACCGAGCACCACAAAAATAACAGGTTAGGTACCGAGCGCTCTGGATAAAAAGTCATTAAGCAAAAATTACACAATCATAGATAACGCTTAGCAAAAATCACATTTGCCAAAACGTTGCAACGCCTTTAAAACATTCCTAACCTGTAATCTTGAAACCTCAGACCTTAGGTTACTCTCTCTCTCTCTTGATAGTGCAAGCTCTTGACCCTCCAGACTCATTTTTGTCTCCTTACTTTCCCGTATTCGAACCTTATACAGTGTACAGTGTATTTACAATAAATGTTTAAAGGGAGTGCTTGGCTTGGTATGGGACTTGTGACGTAATTAGAGTTGTTTATAATATACTCCTAATTAGTTGTCTTGACATTTTACAAGGACTAATTTTTCCAATCCAGGTATGAATCCTAGGGATTTCTGGATCCACAATTTACTCACCGGGGTAGGGTACATGTAAATGTTTCACCTTGGATCCCAGTACTCCTTATAAATCCCTTTATAATATCTTTCTTGATATGTTTGAGGTTTACTAATGAATAGAGTTTTGTCTTCATTTAAACTTTTATTGATCAGGTAAATCTGTACAAAGTTAATCTTGATATAATCAGCTCTTTATACTATTCTGGGGAACCCACATTCAGCTAGGGAAAGTATACAGGTTCTCTGCCTGGCTATGATGGCTATGAGCATATCAAGCTCACGTGCTGGACCAGGATGTGGTCCGAAGACACCACAAGACATGAGGGAGGAGGATATCCAGATTGTCAATCAATAGCAGCAATTCTCCGTCTAGTATTGAGGTAATTCTGATAAGGCAGGCCTAAATTGTCCTCTGTCGTCCTCTATCTCAAGGTTAAGGGTGGGAGGATGTTTGGTGTCTACCTCATCAGATTCATCTTCGACTTCTGGACGGATGGTCTTTTATGGAGGCTTGCTTTCAAGTATCGATTTTTAGAAATTTTTTAATAACCCGGACAAGAAACGTAATTATTTCAACTATTTTGTTGTTTAGAAACAGACTGAAAACATAAAAATTAACTATAAAATAGGCAATGGTATGCAGTTCTCTGATTTTGTTATGTTTTATTCTTCCAAAGAATCCACGTGGCATTGTTACATTATTTACCTCGCTGGTTAGAGCAGCTGTGATTCTTGCTATCTCAGTTCTCAGTTCTGAATTTTCCTCCACCAACTTTACCCTGGACCATAGATTAATTAAAATAACAGATAGGGCACTAGATGTCGTCTTTTTAAGGTTTATAAGTATTTCGTTTACATTAACCCTGAGGCAGAAGCCCAATAGGAACTATGCTACGCCCACTTCGCGTAACTCCTTTGGGCTGCTGCCTCAGAGTTATTGTGAACAAAAAAATTATAAATCTTGAAAAGACGACATAAAGTGTCCTATCTGTTATTTTAATTAATCTATGCCCTGGACATTCGAAATTTAAAATTTCCTCCTTTTTCTCAAATTTTTCCTTTAACCCTCTTATCAGGACATAGCTGTTGTAAGTATATGATAAAACACTTTAATCAAAGAGTGGTGGATGATAGAACACTTTAATCAAAGAGGGACTGATGATAGAACACTTTAATCAAAGAGGGACTGATGATAGAACAGAGATGAATATTGAAGGAAATCATTTTCCACAGTAAGAAGACTAGGATATGTTACGGGGGGTGGGGTGAGGGGTTGAGAAATGAAATCTGTACCTGACAAGCTCTGCTCTATCCCTAGTCTGGATCCACTTCTGCTGCTCCAACTGCATCTCCTTGTTCTTCTGGAGAACACTTTTCAACTCTATCTCCAGATTCCGTATAGTCTCCTGGCTTACATGGGGACTGCTTCCAAGAAACTTGTCCTAAACCAAGAACTTAGTCTAGACCTGAGACCTTCTGATAAAACAACCTATCCCACAAATGAGAACTTATTCACATATATCCTAAACATATTTGATTTTACCAAACCATATTGTAAACCTTTTACTAGCTCTAATTCTAAGTTTTAATATTGTGTAATAAAGTGAAAATTTCTTCTTAAAGTATAACAATTTAACCTAAAAGTATAACAATTTAACCTAAAAGTATAACAATTTTTCCTGGAATTATAAAAAACTTAATTAAATAAAAAAATCATAAATCTTACGCTGACCATAAACATTTCAAATATTTTCTTGATATTAATTTGTAAAAAACTTTGATAAAAACAAAATGGTTCAATTTTATGAATTAATTATGATACCTGTAATTGGTTGATAGCAGATTGTTTACTAACTAGTTCTAATCTACTAGCTTCTAGTTTCTGATTGGAGGATTCAACCTCTTCCTTCCCTCGCTCCAGCTCTTCATTTAACTCTTGAATTCTTCGTTCTCTGAAAAGTTTTTAGATGCAAATTGCAATGAAGTTTATTTTATCTATCCCAAGCTGGAAATTTTTTAGGTTCCATACCATTAACCCCGATTGCTTTATCTCGATATCCACTATATGCACTTTTAAATTTCCTGCTAAATCCTCTCTTTGGTTTCCGATCAACGAGAGTGTGAGAAAGAAAGTAAATTGGTTTCGCACAAGATTTCCCGGCTTCGAATTGACTGTTCGGTTTCTTTAAACGATATTGCGATTGTTGGTTGAAGTTTATAGATACTTTCCTAGATATCAAATAAAAGTTAAATTAATCTGTAGATTAACTAAAAGAGAAGATCAAGCATTAGTCATGAACTTGTATACCCTTATAACTCGAACTCACCTATCCTTGCTAGTAATAGCTTGTTTCTCTAGATCCATTAATATAACACTATTTTCTTCTGCTTTATTTTTATTTTCTGCCTCCAAATATTCAACTCTGATTATCCGTGGAGAAAATAAATGTTTTAAAATTGTAAAAATAGACTTTTAGAGCAAAATTCTTTAGTAAAATTTTGTTAGAAGGTACAACATATATATATATTCAAAAGTCTTGTTTTATTATATTAATTAAGGAATTCAATCTACAAAGGTTGGCCAATTAAAAATTATTTATTCCTCCCTTCCAGTTAATCTACTAATCTTCTCAATATATTTATTCTTCTCATCACATCTGAAATTATACGTCAATTGATTCTTCACAAGTATTTTCCAGAAATAATAATCTTAACATTCAGGATTACTCAAAAAAGAATGAGACTTCAGAGACGACTGCACGTAATTTATTAAGTGTTTTTTTTTTCTAAATTCGTGATTCCCTCCGCTCCAAACTCATCTTATTCTTTGCTAAATCATCTAATATTCAATTTAAAGACAGTATCTAATCTATGAAGAGTTTCGTGTCATCATTAAAGTCTCATCCTTAGTAAAAAACCAACTTGTACAATTCATGATGTGACGCCTTTGTATACCGTCTTTTATCCACGGACTTATTTCAGAAAGGAATTGAGTTTTTGCCACAAACTCTAAATTGTCAAATCCTACATCTTAACAACCCGATGTCGTAGACCTTTAATATTTCTTAATATGAAATATGTTAGATCAAATAGTTTAAGTTTTAAATATTAAAGCTTTGCACCACCAGGTTGCAAAGAAATTTGATTTTGTGACAATAACTTAATTCCTTTTTTCCAGATTTAATTTTTTAAATTTAATTAGTTTTTTTCCAGAAACTCAGATTTTCAAATCTTATATGTTTGCAACCAAACGTACCTTTGATATTTTAAACTATGCCTTGTGTTAGAGTAAATAATCAAAATTTAAAATATCAAAGGTAAACACCTTCAGGTAGCAAAGATATAGGGATTAGAAAATTTGAGTCAGTGCAAAGACTCAATTCCTTTGTCTCCTCTTTGTAAATTGTAAATTGTAAGATATTTAAATTTTTTTTGGAAAACTGACAAAATTAACAATATTTAGATACAAATTCAATGAGTTACACGTTTTGGTCCTTTTGTCTAAGTGTTTTGTTAGCATTCAGCTTGTTACTATCATACTGATAGACATTTTTCAGCATAGAACACCTAAAATAATCTGTTCACCTATATTGTTCAATGTTCTTTATTCTTGATTCAAGTTTACTCTTTTCTATTTTACTCTCTTCTATTTTCACAAACCCTGACAAATAATAATGATTTAGTTAATTAAGTAAGTGAAGAGAAATGACGAATTCAATTCGGGACAACATTTGTTTGTACATAGTTAAAATATCATAATCTTTTTAAACATTTCCATCATAGATGCAACAGACAGAGGTAAAATTAGTAGTGATCATTTTTCATTTTTCGCGAACACTCCCTTTAAAGAACTCAAAACGAAACAAACATTTATCTGAAATTAAATTAATATTAATTATTCTT